AACTACGCTTAGAGGAGATCTTTCCCCAAAGCTTTTTGCAATAATTCCATATTGTACAATCATTTCAGTGCAAAAGAATATATTGATAAATTTTTCAAAGTTTTCTAGTTGGCAGAAAACATTTCTGTTGATCCCAGTTTACATTGAGACCTCAAGGTACGGATGTTTGATGATTAAGTGCACGTTTTCCTCAGCAGTTCTCTGCTCATAAATCTTATCCTGCAGAATTAGTGTAAATTAACGTTGTCCAGTGCCGACCATCACATTGTAATATCCAATTATCGCACTTTAAGCCGTGTCGAAGGGTGGTCGCTAGTAACACCACCTCCTTCTCCCTTTCTTACATAAATTTTGTTTTTAAATCTCTATTGTTAATTTTCTATTTCCTTCTTTAGTTGTCTGTTAATGATTCCATTCACATTCCTCCTAATTATCCCATATGTACTCTCATCATGTGTCGACAATGGTGTGAAGCATGCTGAAAATGAGAAATGGGTCAGAAATGGGAATTTTCTGGTCACTTGTGCAGAAGGAGAGATTAAGGTAGTTTTTATCTCACCAAGCTGTGGCGAGCATTAAATTATTGCTAAAATGCTAAATTTTTTGAAAACAAATTTTCTAAAGTATCATATTTTGTGCGACTTTGATGTTAGAAGGTTTTTCCAAACCTTTGGTTACGAAATCAAGAGATAAGAAAATTTTGTTTGATTTTGTACGATCACTGATTTTAAATTTTTTCAAGATTTCTTTTATATTTTGATCTCTATTCAAAACGCCCATAACACACTTTTTGTAATCTTTCACCTAAGAATACTACTCTAGGTTCTAAACTGCCTCACCGATGGAGGAACAGTCCTCGAGTTAGGTACGGTATCCTATGTCGAAAATGGAGTCGAGTACTCTTGCACTGATGATGAGCCCGTTTTCGAAGGTGAGCGGTTTGGCATACGATATATCTTGTGAAAACTCTGAACTTTAAATTTATAAATTTCTAGTAAATTACCTTGTGTATAAGGCTAAGTGTGGGTAACTGTGTTAAATCTCCAACTTCCTAGTTATCCTTTCTATCTAACAGGAAATCTGAATATTTTTTTAGGTTCCGGAGAAGAGATCTCGGTGAACAACTGTCCAGATAATGCAGATGGCTCTGATGATATAACGATAGGACATTTTCTCATCTGCTGCATTTCAAAGAGATTTAAAGGTAAATCAGAGTAAATCTTTTTTATTCCAAATCCATGATTCGTATCTTCTTCATCATTTATCATTTTCCAACAAGAGCATTAAAAACTGTTGGTGTAGATTTTTAAGCTATTGCCCTCTGTTTTACTAAGATCGGCAAGTAGTGGTTTTAGCGATTGAACCTTTATAATGATTCTCAAAATCTTTTTT